TGTTCACTCAAAATACTTTATCTCACAAACCAATTGCCCGGCAGCTGTGAAACTTATACACGTGTCTTTCGAAGGTTAGGGCTAACTAAAAATCATATGGATTTAATCCAAGTAACGTCATCTATGTGTTAGCCTACGAACTTTTCAGCCCACCTGTTACACCTTTAAATCCTTTAGTCCAAAAGTGAAGAAGTCGTTTCATCACTCTTAAACACACTAAGTGCATATAATCTATCGCAACTTGCGAAATCATATTAATTTTCAAGCAATTCTAAAATAGATACACCAATGTGATGTTCTTCTTGTTGTTTTTTTCGAAATGATTCATCTGTTCTCAACGTACAATTATATTCAGGGAAACTAACAAAATTAATATATTCTCCTTCTTGCACACATTTACTGCAGCCAAAGTAACCTGAATGATTTTTTGTATAAGTTATAAATGCTCTGGCAGGTGTATCACAGACAATTCCTTTAATTAAAACTTTGCACATTTTTCTATTGTAATTAAAACCATGTTCCTCAAGTACAATCAGTTCAGTAACTAAAGGACTTAAATACTGATTTGCATCATTTGGTTTTGACATACCATGGAATACACCAGCAGCAAATGGTTTATTGCAAATATCAGTAAAAATAGAAATTAAAATAGGCCAAAATTGGCTTGTTGAACTATCAGATATTGATATACCATCTACATTAATTAATATATCAATAGTCTTTGGACATTCCTTGAAATACTTTGTTATTAATCGTAAAAGACCATTCGCTATTTCAAAGTGTATATAAGAACCACCTGATATTTTCTTAATTTCTCGTGTAGCATTTTTTGGAGTCTGCACTAATGTCCGAGCATCTCGAGGTAATGTGGTGTGACCACAATCACGTAAAATTTGTAACAAAGAATTAATAAACTTTTGTGTTATTGTAGTGTTTTTAAAGAAAGAACACGAACTGTGGCGCGAGGCGCTGCTGCGGCTCGTGGAGAGAGGGGGAACAAATGAAGGGCAGTACGTAAGAAAAAGGGCAGGGAAACACATCGGTCGTGTCGCATGTAAAGAAGGATAACGGCATTGTAGAGCTGTGAGTTTTAATAAAGTGTTACTTGTACATTCCGGCATTCTCACTAGCCACCGACCATCCATCACAACCATCGTTAAAATACCTTCCCTACGATTCAGAAGTGGGATTCTTGCGGNAAGTGATAACGTGTGCGTGAGAACGATTTACGGGACGTGTCTATGCGACGATCGATCGATGTCCGTCGTACGAACAAAGATAATTTCGGGTTACATGCAGTGATTTGGTGGGTAAACGTGTTGGCTTTGGGGAGGACGTCGAGCCGTGAGACCGGACGAACCCCCCTCGTACATCAGAAAATCAAAGATATCCGTTGCCCGCCATATTAAGTGAACGCGTAGCGGCAAGGCGTTGTTCTGGAAGTTTCCGGTATCGCGCTCGATTACGTGGTCGATAACGGTGTGAAGCCGGTAACGGTTGCAGTCGATAAACNGCGGTAGTGGTACCACCGTGTGGCGTTCGTGACTGCCGACGATTCGGTTGACAGTCGAGGTTACGGTTACGGGGAGCAGTTGATAATTTACAGACTTACGATTGATCGGACGGAAATAAAAGGAACCACAATGGAAGTAGCAAAGCAGTTCACAGTAGTACAACTTAAGGACGTTCTGAGACAACATAATTTACCGACGGCGGGATCGAAGGCAGAATTGGTGGCGAGGTTGATAGAAGCGGATCCAGACGGAACTTGGACAAGTACAGACAATATTGTACAAGGAGAAGAGAACGTGTATGAGGACGCTCAGGTACAACGGGAGCCGGACGAGATCGAACGGCTANGACAAGAATTGGAAATTACGAGACGAGAACGAGATGTGGCACGACGAGAGGCTNAGGTAACACGGAGAGAACTAGAATTGGCAAACGCATTTGATGCACAAAATTCTGGAAATAGACAGGGAGTTGGGAACTTCGCAGATCATCCACGATAGACTTCATCAACCGGTAGGGGCACAGATAATGCAGCCTCAGTTACGCGTGGACGGTAAAGGTATTGGGGATCTGCTAGGCGAGTTCGATGGGGCAAACCGCTACTTCGAGGACTGGGAAAAACAGGTCCGACTGGTACAAAGACTTTTTAACGTAGA